GCCCCCCGCCTCACTCCCCGGCAGCCCGCAGCGAGACGCGCCGCTCCCCAGCACTTTTTTGGGCCCGAGATATGGCAATGGTAGTTAGCAGCTGGCGAGATCCGCAGGAAGACGTGGCCGGGGGCACTCCGAGCGGCCCCAACCCCGCCGCGACGCAGCCGGCCCGGGAGCAGCAGCCCCAGCAGCAGGGGAGTTCGGCCACCCCACACACCCCGCAGACCCCCAGCCAGCCGGGACCCCCCTCCACGCCGGGTACGGCCGGAGACAAGGGAGCGGGCCAGCAGGGCTCGGGGCAGAGCCAGCAGCACATCGAATGTGTGGTGTGCGGGGACAAGTCCAGCGGCAAGCACTACGGCCAGTTCACCTGCGAGGGCTGCAAAAGTTTCTTCAAGAGGAGCGTCCGCAGGAACTTAACTTACACATGCCGCGCCAACAGGAACTGTCCCATCGACCAGCACCACCGCAACCAGTGCCAGTACTGCCGCCTCAAGAAGTGCCTCAAAGTGGGCATGAGGCGGGAAGGTGAATATTTCTTCCCTACTATGCTATCGCTCCCCTCTCCCCGTGGCTGTGCAGGCGTGCGTGTGCGAGGGCTCTCCGTCTGTCTGTGTCTGCCTGTCCGTAAGCGCACACACGCGCACCTATATGCATATACATATATATATATATACACACACGCGCACACGCGCGGCGTGCAAACACACGCACATATAAATATAAATATATAAAAATAAATACACACACGCACACATATATATGTGTGCGTGTGTGTATATATATATATATATATATATATTTACGGCTCTTCGTAGCAATCCAGGACTCTCTATATATTTCCATGCACACGTCAATCTCTTCCTCTGCCTGCACTCCATCTGGCAGCTTTGCACCAGGTTCTGTTGTTATTGTCGATGGTGGTTGGTGGTGTTTTCTTTTGCTTTTCGGTTTGTGCCTTCTGCCCTCCCTCCCGCTCCTCCCCACCCCCTTCTCCGGCACGGCCACACTCTCCCCTTCCTTGATAATTGTGCAGAGAATTTATTATTATTATTATTATTATTATTATTATTATTATTATTATTATTATTATTATTATTATTATTATTACTACAACTGCTGCTACTATTACCATCGCTTGCTAAATATTTATCATTTAGCCGCTCTCCCCACTTCCCCCTGCGCGCGCGTGTATGCGTGTGTGCGTGTGCGTTTTAGATGTGGTTTTGTCTATTGTTGGCATGAGACCGGAGGGTGGGGGGAGATACATCTTTCTCCCGTACGAGATGTGATTCCATTCAGCTTCCTTCCCCCTCACCCCCTCCCCACCCCTTTTCCACCCCATCATTTCTTTTTAAACCTGCAATACTTCTCGGTAGATTCATCTCTCAGGCTCATTTTTCCCGAAAGAAAGATGAAAGACGTGTAATTAGAGAAAGAGGAAAGAGTGTGAAAAAGATGGAAAGGAGAAAAGGGGGAAAAAAAAGAAAAAGAAAAAGGGAGGAAATGTGCTACTCTATCTTCGCTTCCCTGTGCTTCTCGGTGCCCCGGAGTGTGCTTCTGTATGGTTCTGTGCGAGATTTGGCCTTGTTTTCATTCCATGCGTTCAAAGGAAAGTTTGTGACTGAACCGTGTTTCTGTACTTCTGTCTTTTTTTTTTTTTTTTTTTTTTTTTTTTTTTTTTTTTTTTTTTTCCTTTTTTTTTTTATTGCGCTGCTCATTTTATTTCTTCATCAAACTCCACCCTCTCCTTAAAGTCTTCATACAAATCTCGATTTATAACCTCTTTACCGGTTCTTCTCATTTTAGCAGCATCCGCAGCCTGCATCTGGCAGCGGTGTCCCCACCATTTCCAACTGCTCTGCTATTTTTTTTTTCTCCTCCTTTCCAAAAGTTGCCTGTGGTTTTCCTTGCGTTCAGACTTATTCTCGTGCAGAAAGATTTCCTGTCCTCCTTTCTCCTTAAAATGTTTTCTCTCTGTTTAAAGTTTACCCTGTGACTGTCGTTAAAAATCTTCTAAAGATGTCACATCAGCAAAATAGTTGATTTTGTGGAGCAGGGATTTTAAAACTGTATTTTATATGTGACAAGAAAAGGAATTGAATTAGGCTGCTCCAGATCTGAAAGAGCTCACAAATATGACGGCTTCATTGGTAGCTGCAGGGGCTGTTGGTAAGCACCTGGGAGAGTGGAGGCAAGCAAAAATTTTTTTTGAAAAGGAAGGAGGAGAAAAAATAAACAAACAAAAAGTGAGAATTGTGCACGCAGTTAAATGAAAAATATCTGCCAGGTTTGCAAGTAGATTGAAGAGGGAGAGGTAGGCTGGAGGGCAGCAGGACAGAGGTCTGGCCCGGGTGGCGAGGAGGGCTCGCTGGGGAAGAAAAGAGAAAGTTGAGGAAAATGTGGCACGCCGGAAACATGAGTGATTGCATGTGCGGGTGTGTGCCAGCAAGCGTGTGCGGTTGTGCGGGTGTGTGTCTGTGTCTGCAGGGTACAAGCCTGAGTAGCCTATCTTCCCCTGAAGTTACATTTGTTTACATGGCAAGCGGCTGCAAACGCTGGCACTGATGGAGTAAAACAAACGCACACACCAGGAAAAAAAAAACAAACAAAAAAAAAACCAAAAAAAAACCCCACCAACTTTGGTCAGCTTTCGGGACTCGAGGCATGCTTACGCTCTGTGTGGAGATGGTTAATGAATCCAGTGTTTTTGCAGTTGCAAGCTTGTGCATTCACTGTGCAACGCTGACTGCAGGCTTTTGCAGTGGCAACAGCTCACCAAAGATATTAATTACACCGTCCCCTTTTTTTTCCACGAATGTTTGGCTATTGTAAGTTTGGACATTTTTATTTTATTTCCCCCTTTCCCTTGATAATATTTAACCTTTCTCTTCCTTTTAGCAGGGAAAACTTTGCTGGGCGGGGGAGGGGGGGACTCTATGGAAAGCTGATTCTGTGTAATAAAGTTAGCAGTGGGGAGCTGGAACGCTGCGACCTGTTCCAGCTTGAAGGGTAACGACGAGGTATTTTTGAAGAATAAGGACCCATTTGGTTTTATGAATTATTTTATTTAATATTTTATTCTAAAAAGAGACACACCAGTTCCCTTGTAAATTTCAGTGGTATCAGGGCAATAGGCTGGGATTCACAACAGACCTTGACTATATTTTTTACAGTTGGCGGTGATTTTTAACTCTACTTTCTCACCACCCGGAGGATTTCTTTGATTTTTTTTTTTTTTTTTTTTTTACGTGCGGGGCTTTCTTTTGTTACGAGAGGGGAGGGGGGAAGAGGGGGTTGTGTGCGGATTTGACTTGTTTGCCTTGGCTTTTTTTTTTTTCTTCTTTTTTTTCCCTTTCTTTTTAATCTGTTTATTTTGTGAAGCCTGTCTGCATTGTGGTCGGGGGTGGGGGGAGTGGAACGCGCTTGGCTGCCGCTGGGCTGAGGCTGCCTGAGCAAGGGTCGGGGCCGGGGCCGGGGCCGAAGCAGGGGCCGGGCGGGGGGCGCAGTGCAGGTCGGGGGCAGCTGCCCGGCTCCGCATGCCTCTGTCTGTCCGTGCCTGTGCGTGTGCCGGGGGCGAGGCGGTGGCGGGGAGGGGAAGAAGCTCGGCATTGTCTCCGGCTGGTTGGCAGCGCAGCCGGGGCGATGCCTGCGAGCCTCCTGGATGCACATTTCCTCTCCTTCTCTCCTTCTTTTTGTCAGCGGTTCAGCGAGGAAGAATGCCGCCCACCCAACCCAACCCCGGCCAGTACGCCCTGACCAACGGCGACCCCCTGAATGGGCACTGCTATCTCTCGGGATACATCTCCCTCCTGCTGCGGGCCGAGCCCTACCCCACCTCCCGCTACGGCAGCCAGTGCATGCAGCCCAACAACATCATGGGCATCGAGAACATCTGCGAGTTGGCCGCCCGTCTGCTCTTCAGCGCCGTCGAGTGGGCCCGCAATATCCCCTTCTTCCCCGACCTGCAGATCACCGACCAGGTGGCCTTGCTGCGGCTCACCTGGAGCGAGCTCTTCGTCCTCAATGCTGCCCAGTGCTCCATGCCCCTCCATGTGGCCCCGCTCCTGGCCGCCGCCGGCCTCCACGCCTCCCCCATGTCGGCCGACCGCGTTGTCGCCTTCATGGACCACATCCGCATCTTCCAGGAACAGGTGGAGAAGCTGAAGGCGCTGCACGTCGATTCGGCTGAATACAGCTGCCTGAAAGCCATCGTCCTCTTCACCTCAGGTGAGGGGACGGGTTGGGGATGTGAGACGTCTGGGAAAAAAAAAAGAAAAAAAGAAAAAAAAAAAAAAAGAAGAAAAAGAGCAATCCGCCCCCAAAACCACCTATGGGAAAATTAGGAAAATATATTTAAATAGAATTATTTTTAAAGGAAAGGGACAGGAGGCCGAGGAGGCATAGCACCTGATGGGGGTACACTCTGGTCCAGGGATCAGCCTCTCCCTCATTGCCACGGATACAGGCTTTTTAACACACAGCCCCTCCAAAAAAATAATGTTAAAAACCAAAATCAAATTAAGTGTAGGCGGTGGAAACATGCATGTTAACAATTTTTCCCTGTGATAGATGGTTTGAATTAACTAGCAGGAAAGTTGCATTAGCATTGCCTTTGAAGTGCTCTGGTCATAGCCTATAAGAATATAATACGTATACTATTATTGCAACCTGCAAGGGAGAATTTATAAACATCAAAGGGGAACTATGTGAAGGAAATATAGGAAATGGAAACAAGGCAAGATAAGAGTCTGGGCAGTGTAATTTTTTAATTATTATTCTAATTATCATCACGATGTGGCTAATTGCCACCTTTCCTACTTGGTTTTTTTTATTATTATTATTATTTCTTTTTCATTTTATACCCCCTCAACCCATGCCCTAGCTCCACTCTTGTACGAGCTTCTCCCCTCTTTTCCCGATTAGCAATAACTAAGCAGTTCTGATAAATGTGACTTAAAACCAGGCCAAGGCAAAATTAAAAGCATTCCTGAACAAAGATGGCAAATCGTTCAAAGGCCTTGTTTAACACTGAGCAGTTTATAATCCATCAATATTTGTTGCCTTTCAAGCACGAAAGATAGTATTTACATTGTATTAAAATGACTCCTAAATTTGCACTATATTGTAATGTAGCAAATGCAGTATTAATATCGATTTGAACATCAGATAATTTATTTAGACAGGAGTATCTAATTTGTATGCAGGGTGGTCGGAGACATGTACTGTGACTGCCCCCTTTTACTTCCAGTGCAAATGCAGTCTCACAGCGTTGGAGGGAATATTTCTTTGCAAAGGATAATGTGCAAATCTTAAAACAAATGGAAGATTTACTGAATAGCCAACTCGACATTTTAATGTATTTTATCATAATAAGTCTTCTTGATGGAAACATGTTTTTCAAGAGTGACAAAGAGACCTGCCTGCATTTATCAGGGTGATTTAACTCCACAGCCTGCCTGCAGACTCCCAGACTTTCCTTTCCCATTCATTTCAGGGAGCTCATCAATACTCAGGGACAGTCGAGGAGAATATTTTTTTTCCCCAGACCCAATTTGGAGAGATTCTTCCCAAGCAGAGCTGGGAAAACATCTGGCCTGTGCCTCAGCCCTTCCACTTGCCAAAGGCCCTGTGAAGGAAGTTGACCCTGACAGAGATATGTTTGAGGGAATATTTTTTTTTTTTCTTTCTCTTCTCTCCCTGTTACCCCCAGCCTTCCCCCTTTACTTCCAAAACAATTGACCAAAAGGGGAAGTGGCCTTAGAGGAGCCCCTCATTTACATATAATAAAAACAAATGTAATAACATTTGTGAGGGGAGAAGCCTCTTCCCACAGTGGAGTGGAGAATGAAGGAAGGGAACAATAATATTATTTCGGAGTAGGATCACACAGGGCATCTCAGAAAATGGGAATACTGCTGTCAGGAGTAATCTACTACTCCTTACCCCCATCTGCACTTTACCACTTTTCACTAAACTTGTTTTCATTGCATATTCAGAGGGGAATTCATGGGAAGCGTTTCGCAAAGTCCTCCAACTTTGAAACAAACTTTAAGTGACAGTAAAGACATTTTTAGGCATATTGTCCAAAGTCCTTCACTAAGGACTAAGTATCTAAAACTGGCATGGATTTCTCCTGTTGTGGTTTTTACATTTGGGCTCCAGAGAGCATGTATTTAATCTGTAAAATTCTGGACACCATTCAAAAGCTGTGTAGTAACCCCAAACCTGCTCCTTTCTTGCCTCCTTTCCTCTTCTGTCCCATACCCTCCTTTTTGCCCTCATCTCCTTCTCCCTGCTGCCAAACTTTAGCATGACTAATTCCTACATCTACCTTTTCATCGTCATAAATAAATGTTTCCGGGAACAGACAGAGACAGATAACATAAATCAAATAAATCTATTTGCAGCGCAATAAGAACTTTTGATTTCTAGTTAGATGCCAGCTGATTACGTCTATATTTTCTGAACACTAAACTCTTCTGAACATGTAACATGAAATACATTGCCACCACTAGAAAGGGGAAGGCTGGAGTGTGTTGAACAGTAATGGTTATTTATTTACATAATTTCTTTTCCATAGACTGGAAGAAGAAATATAGAGCTTTCCCTTATTGACACACTGCCATATAAAAAAGCAAGGCTCACACAGGATTTTCACATTAGCCCACTTTCTGAGATGGAATAATAATTCACCTTCGGTAAACATGGATTGCATTATTTCTCCCATGGATTGCACCTCTCTGGGCTGCATAATCTAATCGAGTTGTGGATCCCTTAATTATTACTATTTTTAATCTCATTCTGAAGGGAGAATTGAGCCTTCTCACCCCCACTTAAGGCTGCAGAATAAAACCCAAGTGAAGGCGTATGCCAGACCATTTAAAATAATTGAAGCCAAACAGATACTGTTGGCATGAGAAAATTCTGAGTTTTTGGGGGTCTAAGGCAAAACCCATGGCAAATTTTTCAAACACACACGCACCCATCAGACTGATGACCTTTTAGAGAGCAAGTTCTCCATCCACGTTGTCCAGTGACCTGCACTTATAGGTGCACTTATCGTAAATGTCTGATAAATATTTTACTAACCTTAAGGGTATGACATATGGGACATAAAGAAAAAAGCCCTGCCAGGGTGTCAGTAAGACCCTTTCATATAGCATTGTTTGGAAGTTGAATAGGATCCTAATGCATAATGGGCAGATAATGCATGTAAAATAGCAAGATATATGTAAATATGGAATGTGATTTGTGGCAATCAACATATGAACAGGTCTGTGGTTTTGATACGTATTGCAAACAAGAACAGGCCCCAGCTTTTGATAGATATATATGTTGCAACCTGGTGCTTTAGATGTTGCAAAATATCATTGCATTAAAGGTAGAGTATAGATTAGCAGAGCAGCCTGGCTCAGATAATTGTGTGTCTGAGGGATGCCAAGTCCGCAGCTCAGGTCAAAGGTTCTCCTCCTCAGAAGTTCCTAAATTATGGCTTGTTTTATTTGTATTTTTGCTTGAGGCCATAGTATTGTAGATGAAGGTGTTCAGAAATTTTTGTAAAATCAGTTCTTGATAAGGAAAGAATTAAGCTTCAGAAATGCTGGTGCAATGGATTCTATTTTATTTTATTTTTAGCTTTAAATAATTTGTTAATTTATTGTGTCTTTCCAGGGTCACAGCTCTACATTCCCACTTTTATCATGTCTTTTTGGGGGCCAGTAACTAATTCATATATGGATCTATATATTAGCAAAGTCTGGCTTTGATCTGTTAAACTGCACCGCTAGCTGACCGCCTTGCTCTGATCTTGACGGCTGGAGGTTTTCTTGGTTTTGTTGGTTGGTTTTTTTGGTTAGGTTTTTTGGTTGTTATTTTGGTTTGGTGTTTTTAATATCCATTCTTAATCTTTGAAACAATGTGGGTTATTTCAACCATCTGGGCATACCAACCACTTTTCCATGACTGTAGTTTCCTAGGAAGTCCTTCCACAAACAGCTGGTGCACAATTATACTCTGGTTTGGGTTATGTGCTCTCAGAGATAGGATGTGTGCTTATAAGTGTCTCTCTGTGTGTGTGCAAATGCACAGATGCATCCATACCTCTCTTTTTGTATCTATGTACACGGAATAACTTGTATAGATACAAATACGTGGATGTGAAAGGTTTCTGCTCTTGGATTAGTACACCTTTGCCCAGCTCATGTAGTTCTGCAAGGTGCAAGACAGTTTGGGTGTCAGAAGGACCTATAAAGAAGTAGTCTCTCTGGTTTCGTTTAGGCAAGGCTTAGCTGATGCAGCTCTCCCCAGCTTTGTGTCTGAGAGCTACAGACGCCTGCTGAGCACAAGCTGGGACTAACCTAGCCGTTTGCTACCGGATTTATCACACAGCCCGCAAAGACGTGGCAAATTTGCAATCGCTGGCAGCGAGGCAGGAGCAGAGGAGACTCCCATGCCCCACGGCATCCCCCAGCCGGCTCCCTGCCGGTCGCTGCAGGTCCCAGTCGCTGCCTGTCTGTGATATGCAGCCATGTCAACAAACTCCTTGTGTGTGCGGCTCTGCTTATTATTGTTATTTGCTACTACTTCTACTACTACTGCTACTACTACTACTATTATTATTATTATTATTATTATTATTATTATTATTATTATTATTATTATTATTATTATTATTATTATTTTCCCCAATACCTTACTTTTCCTCCTCTCTGCGTTATTTAAGGGGGCTGGTCCAGGTTTCCAGCATCCTGGTGATGGGCTCCCTGGAGCAGAAACCAGGCTCGACAGCGCAGAGTGTCGGTGGGGGGAATGTGAAAAGGAAGTGTGGGGGGTTCTGTGTGTGTGTGTGACCGGGACGAGCTTGGTGCTGGCACCCCATCGCATCCTGGGTGAAAACACCCACGGTGGCGACAAGGCACGGCGAGGTCGCGTTATTTTTTTGGCAGCAATGCGCGGGATGGGATTGGGGTGGCATGGGGTGAGATAGGATGGGATGGGATGGGGAGTGCGCCTTTGGGCTGCCCCCCATTCTCGCGGCGTTTCCCCCTGTGGTTCCCAGCCACTAACCATCTCCCTCCCGCTTCCTCCTCCTCCTCCTCCTCCTCCTCCTCTACCTCCTCCCTCCACTCTCCCCCCGCCTGCCGCCGTTCTGCGGCTGCCTCCGCGGGTGCGGTGCGGTGGGCAGACGCCTGCGGCCTGTCGGATGCTGCGCACATCGAGAGCCTCCAGGAGAAATCCCAGTGCGCGCTAGAGGAGTACGTGCGGAGCCAGTACCCCAACCAGCCCAGCCGCTTCGGGAAGCTGCTGCTGCGGCTGCCCTCCCTGCGCACCGTCTCCTCCTCCGTCATCGAGCAGCTCTTCTTCGTCCGCTTGGTAGGTAAAACCCCCATCGAAACCCTCATCAGGGATATGCTACTGTCGGGGAGCAGCTTCAACTGGCCTTACATGTCCATCCAGTGCTCCTAGAGCCCATCCCGCACCCCCGGCAGAGAGGCGGCGGAGCGGCGTAGAGGGGAACGCTCGCACGGAGGGGCAGTCGGGGTGCGGGGGGGGCCCGGGAGGTGGACGCTGAACAAAAGAAAGGGCGAGTGGGAACAGAGATGTGGCCGTGGAGGGGAGAAGGACGGACCTGTCGTCCGTGGAGGTTGTGATGTTTTGCCTTTTTTTTTTTTTTTTGGCCTATTTTGGGTTTTTTTTGGTTTTGGTTTTTTTTTGTTTGTTTGTTTTCTTTCGGCGAGGAGGAAAAAAGAAATAAATAATATTAATAAAAGAGACAAAAAAAAAATGAGTATTGAGGGGATATTAATCAAACCTGAAGGGGATACTGGATCTTCCAGGATTTATTGTGGACTGTTGTTGATATATGCTGTACAGTAAACCAACAAAAAAAAAAAGCATTGAAACTGAACTGAACCTTGTGTACAATGAAAAAAAACCCGCCCAAAACCAAGCAAACAACAACAAATTTTCCATGCGCAAACACTTACCATGAACATTGTTACTCATTTTGTAATATATTAGTCTTTATTTTCATTTTTGGTAAAAGTTAAAACATCATATGCGCATAAAGGAAAAGAAAGGAGAATTAGGGGAAAATAACATTTTCCAAATAATTATAAAACAATTGTCCTGTGTCTATGTATCTATATCTGTTTTGTATTTTTTTCTGGTTCCAAACCAGGTTTCCTGTGATTCTATACTAATAATTTTTGATATAACCCTTTGCTTCTTATAATGAGTGCGATATATGTTGTCAAAGCTGTTCTTCAAGAATTAAAATTGAAGTGAGAATTTAAAAAAAATAAAAGAATTTAGCAAAAAAAACCCCAACTTATCACCCCACAACCCATGAGTCTTGTTGCTTGAAACATGCCAACAATTCACAAAAAAAAAAAAAAAAGAAAAAAAGAAAAAAAAGAAAAAAACATAAACAGTAACAACAAAAATCTCCCCACATTTTTAACTCCTTTACTGGTGCTAAAAAGGAGAACTTAAAAAATACTTGGGAGGGGTAACCAAGTCATGTAAACTATGGGATGCTCCAAAATGGACTTGACTGTATAAGCTTAGGTCTGAGCTGTCAAGGCCTAGAAAGAGGGAGCAGGAATTGCAGTGTGATGCCTTAGGTGACCTCGCCTTACTGGGGCTGCACCACAGACTCTCCACCAAGGCTGATGGGCCTATCAGGCTGGCCTAGCCCTTTTGAAACACCTTTTCCCAACACCCGGATTTTCTGCTGAGTTCATACCTTACTTTTTACTCTCAGACACTGTGGGCATGGATTGAAGTCACATATGCCATCATCTCTACCCATGCAGCAGGAGGCATACTCCAGCCATGGGTCCTGTTTGTTCCAAGCCTGGTGGGTTTTGGCTTCTGGGGGCTTGGCATGGGGTTGAGGGTTTTTTTGGTTTTATCTTCTTTTTCACTCCAAGGGCTCCCAGACCCCAATACATGCTCCAGTGTGCATGTTTTGTGCTTACTGTCAGCCAGAACAGATCTCTTGCTTTTTTTCCCAACTCTAGTTGCTGTGTGTGGAGGGTATTCCCACTCCATTAATATAGAAATCCAGCTGGATGCTTGCTCATTGGGTGGTGAGCTAGTGCATTTCATGTGTGCTTATGTGCCATGGCCATGCAGAAAACACAGGCTGTGACATCCCACACCATGGCCCACCCACTGCCAGGGCCTAAGCTCTGTGCCAAAAGCCCCTTTTCATTTCAGCTGTCTTTTTTTTTTTTCCCAGAAAATTAAAAATCGTTTTTGTAATGGAGCTCCTTTGAAGGTAAAGGCTTCTAGCTGGTCGTGCAGATCTCTGTAACAGCTTTCAGTGCATTAATGTTTTATAGGATCTGAGACAGAGCTGTAAGAACACATACTACCAAGGGAGCTCTTTCTTAATGTATTAATAAAGCTGGATCTTTAAAAATAACATTGTCCCCCTCACACAGACACCTCCTGTTCTCTCCAAACAAGCCTAGATGAGGTAGACTTCAGTTTGTGAAGACATGGGCAGTGTTTTCCTTTTAATTTGCTGTCCTCCATACTCTCCTCTTTCTCATTCCCTCTCTCTAGCTCTCTCTCAATCTCTCCCATCTTTTTTTTTTTCGTTTCATTCTTTCTTTTTTCCCCCCCTTTTTTCTCTTTCTTTAACAAGATTCTTCAACTCACTTGGGGTTTTCAATATTCTAGGCGCAGCAGATCTGAGGTGAGAGCAGCTCTATACAGTAGACAGTTATAGCTGGATAATCAACATTATGGCCAGATCCTCTATGGGGGTATCACCCCATTCAGGACCGAGAAATGGCCTGTATTCATAGGTGCTGGGAGGGGAGGGACCTGGTTAATTCCAGACCTGAGCACAGAATTCGGGAATTAGACAGACAGACAGACATCCTCCCTTTTGTCACTCACTTGGACACTGCATGAGTGAGAGCTTTGTTCCTGCCCTTTCCCCAGGGCCTTCCCTGGAGAGAGAGGGTCCAGCAGCCCCTCCGGGCCCTCAGCAGGGAGTGAGTGGGAATACTCAGACATGGCAGGTGCTGAAAACAGCATTTTCAGCACTGCTTTATGGTGGGATGGGTGATTTGGGATCCAGATGAATTAGCAGTTAAAAACACAAACAAAAATACTTCAAGAACAACAACAAAAAACACCAAAAAAAGAAACAAACCGAAACCCAAAAAACCCAAACCCACCAAAACAAACACCTCAAACCCAAAAATAACAACAAAAATGAACTAACAAAACAAAAAACCAGCCCCCCCCACCTAAAAATAAACAAAACAAATGGGGATATCGGAAGAGAAAAACAGGTCTTGATTTCTTCCAGTGAGATGTAAATAAATTCATTACAGTGTTACTCCACTGATGAAAACAGATAAACTTTTTCGTAGATATTTTTAAATTAATTTTCATATTTATGAATAATAATAACCCACGGATTGCCAAGAAACTTGCAGGTGTAGAGGAGGTGTACGAGATGCACTTATTTCCATGTATGTGCCTAGAAAGAAGTGTTTCAATCCCTTATTAAACTTTGCTTATAAGACGGTATCGAGTTCTGAAGTGTTAACTACCCAGTCTGCGTTGTGTCAGTGGATGTTTTCCTTTGCCACGCTGCAGCCTCTCGGGCATTCATATGGCAGCTAAAAGTACTGTATCATCGCGTCATCGAGTGCTATTTGCTGGGGAAAAAAAAAAAAAAAATTAATATGTGAATGTGGAGACGGGCTGGGGTCCCTCAGCAAGTTTCTGCCGACTTATTAGTAACTTACAATATACTGCTTTAAAACCAACCCCATCTACATTTCTTCTGCCTTGTTGTTGCCGGGGGCCCGGGCGCTGTCCCCGGAGGCTCCTCGGTTCCCAAGCTCGGCAGGAGGAGGAGTCGGCAGGGAGTTCCCTGGCATCCCTGCATCCTGCCGCGCAGGGCTCCGCGGCCCCTCTATGCTCGCCAGCAGCTGCCGCAGCACTTCAAAGGCCGGGGTGGGGATTGGAGGGGAGAAAGCAGGGGGTCGGTGGGATTTGGGAGAGGGGCGACCCTCCCACCCCAGCCCCGCGCAGGGGACCTGCTCGGGGCACGGTAGATACAAAGCCCTCCTTTCCAGTCCTCTTAGCACCTCACTAACTAGCTTGCCTCCTCCCACCGCCCAATTAGGCCTTTTCTATACATTTAATCGAATAAATATTTGGAAATGCTGCTAAGTGGTAGGTTGAACCCGAGCTGAGGAGGAGGGGGGCTTGCAGGCGGTGGCAGGGGTAGCGCCGAGGCGAGGGTCGTTTGTGTGCGCGCACCTCCTCCGCCTGTCCGTGAACGTCATGGGCTGCGGCTTCCCCTTTCCCGGGGTTTCTCGACACGCCCTTGCCCCCTGGGGGCACCTTTTGGGTGGCTCGGCTTCCATCCATCTTCTTCATCTGTAGGAGGAGGGTGATGAGCCCACTCTAGGGGTGGGAGTAAAGGATAAGCCCCACTTTCCCCGTACCAGTCGAAATAAAGTAGAACTGGGGAGGGAGCGTGGGGATGGGACCCCATCACGAGTGACCTGTCTCATCGCCACCAATAAAATCGACGGATCAAGATGCAAAAGGCTCTTTTCCTGCTGAGGTAAATAGAGGGTCTCTCACGAAAAGTCTGGTCCCTGCAAGTGGCAGCAGAAGTAATATAAGGAATGTGGATTCCGCGTGGGTTCACTCGCAGGAGACTGGTTGGTTACCTACACAAAGACAGAAATGTCTTTTATCTGACAGAAAGGGCTGAATAGGACCTCTGGTTTTGCTGGTGTTTTGTTGGGAGGTTTTTCAGTTATTGGGGTTTTTTTTGTTGTTGTTTTGGGTTGTTCTTGTTTTGGGTTTTTTTGGGTGTTTTTTCTCTTCTTTTCTTTTTTTTTCTTTTTGAGGGGAGTGTTTGTTTGGTTTTCTTTTTTGTTGTTGTTGTTTGATTTGTTTTTTTTCTCATTACCTGTGGGATGTGGCAGCCAGACATCCCCTTCTCAACGGACAGCAGATGTGACCAGCTGCCGAGGGAGGAGCAGGCAGGGTTGGCAGGGACGGTGGCACTGGCTGGCCTGGATGGACTCTCCGACAGACGGACAGAGGGACGGAGGGCTGATCAGGGATGTCAGGGCTTGCTGCAGTCGCCCCCTCCAGCAATGTCCCGGCGCGCAGCCATTCACATGGAGTGTCCTCGAACGCGTGTGCACGGCTATTAGAGACTCTGTCGACATGCTTCCTCCGGTTTCATGGGACATTTTGACTATTCAAAGCCTTAGTTTATAAGTCTTGAAATAGGGGGCAGGGGTTCTTTCTTTTCTTTTCTTTTCTTTTCTTTTCTTTTCTTTTCTTTTCTTTTCTTTTCTTTTCTTTTCTTTTCTTTTCTTTTCTTTTCTTTTCTTTTCTTTTCTTTTCTTTTCTTTTCTTTTCTTTTCTTTTCTTTTCTTTTCTTTTCTTTTCTTTTCTTTTCTTTTCTTTTCTTTTCTTTTCTTTTCTTTT